AAACCAACCAAATCAATTTCAGTACCGGTTACTAGAATACAATACAACGCCGTTGGCGAGTATGCAGCTCGCACCGGCAGTTATTTTTTGGTGGACTTCTTAAAACTAAATTACCGATCTCAAACTCGCTTTTGATCAGAAACCACATAAAGGAATCGATAATTCAAAACAAATTTAAACAAAAAAGAGATAAATAAAAATATTATTATGACCGCAACGCTAAGGCGCTACCGGTATTGAGGGTGGGTGATTTAGTAATTTTCATGAAAAATGGGAAGGAATGGCACTATGGTAAAATAGTCGAAATTGTTAATGGCCGCTCATATATTATCATAGATAGTGATAACAATTATTTTAGAAGCAATCGACGCCTTATTGCTCAGGCTCGAAACGAAGACTTCAGTGCTAGTGATTTGTTACGCGGAAAACTTAGGCAATTATCAGAACTATGGAACGAATAATAGGCTACCAACGCAGATTACTGGGCTTGAAAATAATGTTAACGGGGATAGTCACACCAGGATTGAAAATACTCTAAGCAATAACGCGATTTGTAATGTGCATGAATCAATGATCTCGGATGAGAATGAAGCTCCCAGTACAATAGCCGAAGATATAAAGATTCAGAAACAACTAGTTCAAGCATTCCAAATGTAACAACGCCAGAAACGTATAGAACAACGGTGGGCCAACGGGGCTGTTTAAGAAACAAATACCACCGCAAATTCAAAAAGACGTTTTTAATTGAGTATAAAAAGTATGCCCAACATTTTAACTGCCTTGATAAATTTTTATACAGAAACTATGTTTTAAACTATGAAGCCAATATCAAGTCGAATCTTAAAGCTTTCTGGCGATTTATAACTTCGAAGAAATCTTGCTCTAGTATTCCCTCTCAATTATTTCTCGACGGAAAATCTGCTACCTCCCCCATTGAGGCTGCGAATCTGTTTGCCGATTTTTTCCGCTCAAACTTCATTTTAGATAACGACTCTAGTGGAAGCCTTTCCAATACTAAGGAATCGCCCTTTAGCTTTGGATCCCTAACCTTAACCTCAACCGACATTCTTAATGGCATTGCGCAGCTTAACCCTCGAACCAACCTGACATTGATGGGCTATCCCCAGTTCTATTAAAAAATGCGATTCTCTTATTTATCCATTGAAATTAATTTTCAATAACTCGCTATCCGCAGGGGTTTTTGTCGGTGATGGGAAAGTAGCTTTTTTTTCATTATTATAGACCCATTTCCAAACATTCAACTATTTCGAAACTATTCGAAAGCATAGTGAAAGAAAAGGTGTATTTTGCAGTTAAAAGCCTTATTTGTCAGAACCAGCATGGGTTTATGCCTAACCGGTCGGAGTCAAAGTCGGATTCCAGTTAGATGCTGTTTATACAGCTTTTTCAAAGGCGTTTGACAGGGTTTAACACTCTATCTTAGTCAATAAACTTGCTGCTTTAGGTTTTCCCTCCATTTTTTTAAATTGGATTAAATCATACCTAAGTAATCGTCGCTGTGTTGTCAATGTCGATAATAAATTATCGTATCCCTTTATCGCTTCCTCCGGGGTACCCCAAGGAAGCGTTTTAGGCCCCTTATTTTTCATTTTGTTTATAAATGATATAAGTAGTTGCTTTTCCCGTTCTAAATTTCTCCTATATGCTGACGATTTAAAAGTTTACTCCATAATAAAGAGTCCGCTTGAATCACAGATACTTCAAGCAGAGCTTAATAATCTTAAATCGTGGTGTGACACCAATCGATTGTCTTTGAACATTAATAAATGCTATCAATTTAATCTATGAATTTATTCCTTTCTCCTTCTACATACTCAACTTTACCTTCTTCCTTGTTTGAGTCTTATACCATGTTCTGGCAGACATCGAAAACATGTTTCCGTTGCTAAAATGGCTTTCGACCTAATACTTGTGTTTTCGTCCATGTAAAATCTGTCAAACGAAAATCAGTTTTCACTGAAAACTACTTGAAAACTCACGTTCCACTGTTGTTGTCGTTGTTGTAGCGGCTACAACAACCCCGCCCAGATTGGTTAATATCTCAGTCGTTGTCGTCCATCTCCATTAACGGAAGCCCTAAGCGTGCAGCCTCAATAGGGTCGGTCCA